GAACAGTAGCGTCCGGGGATCTAATTTCCTAGCGGCTACTAAGCGGCTATAGAAGCATATACTACGAAGCATATACTAGAAGTATACATTGCCTATAGACTTACACTCGAGCGAGCCGAAGCAAGCCGTTATTATAAAAAGTCCTTAACGCATTCTATTACTAACTATAGTACGCATAACTAAAGGACCCGAAGGACTAGGACAAGGTATATAGAACGGGTACTTATTACAAGCATATAAAACACGTGCGTATATACTAGCGAACTTAAAGAGTTAGATGCTAGGTACTAACCGATACTATATAGAGAACAAAGGTTAAACCGCGCCCGAAGATGTTAAAAGACATAAGGTATGTTTTTGTCGAGAGTGCGCACTATAGGTATAAAGCAGTCTTAATACGCTCGGTTCGGGGAGAGTGCGTACTGCAGGTATAAAGCAGTCTTAATGCGCTCGGTTCGGAGAGAGTGCGTACTATAGGTGTAAAGCAGTCTTAATACGCTCGGTCTTAATGCCCCTATAGAGACGTCTTACCTAAGGACGCCTGTTCGTACCGCGGAACTATAGTATAGCTAAACCCTTATACGGTCGCAGCCGAAATCAGCTACCGCGCACTCGCTTCCTAGAGCGCTATATCCGACATCGTACGCTCCTATTACCGAGTAGAAGATTAAGACAATTATAGCTGTTAGGAGTCTGAATTCGAACTAAATCGGGATTCGAGAACAACCTATACAATTACGCAAGCTTAACTAGATATACGTTTAGTATCTAGAGAAGAGCCTAACGTAGGAAGCCCTTATAGCAATAGATAAGAAGACTATCTACTAAGGAATTACCTAACAGTAATGCTACGAACCTATCTACTTATTAGGAGAGAGGGCGTCGGTATACCTTATTAAAGAGTTTTTACCTTAGCCGATGCTTTATCGGTGTAACTTACTAAAGAGTTTTTACCTTAGCTAAGCCTATTAGAGACCTCTATAGTTTGTACTACGCTTAAACCAAACAACCCTCGTTAGGCCTTATTAGTAGTGTTTGCTACGTCGAGTGCGCAGTCGGCGCCTATCGGAGTCTACTAGTTATCGCCGCAGTTAGGAGATCCTCGCTAGCAGTATATGCGCTACTATATCGGCATTACTCCCTAATCCTCGCTCCTCGCTAGTAGTATATGTATACCGCTATAATAGCTCGCTCGGATCCGACTACTTATCTCTAACTATCTTACTAAGCGGCTCTAGCGATAGCAAGTCGTAGAACTAGCAAGGAATCCGGTATTAATCGCTATAGAGCTACCTATATACGACAAAGGAGGAATAGACACTATCGCTAGTTACGCGCGAGGCGGATACCGGTATATAGGTAGTAGTGTTATTAGTGTATACTGTCGCTAGTTACGTAATACGGATACCGGTACACAGTTAGTGTTAATGTAAAGAAGAAGAAGAAGTAGTAGTTAGAAAGCGAATTGCTATATATAACGGCGTAGGTAAGGTTTTACGCTATATCGTATAACGAATATCTAGGCACCGATAACGGCTATACATTATCGCACTACACTATACTACACTTCCGAAGGCAAGAGCAAGCTCCTTCTACCTAAAGTGCAGCTTTCTTAGTATACCGACAGCGAGATTACTACGGCTAGTAGGAGCAGCTACGGTAGAGCGAGCCTCTTAACGTACTTACCGATAGCAACGACGAGGTATTCTTAGGAGCCGAGCGTACTGTCTTAGAGGAAGCGATTAATAGGCGAGATTATAAACTAGAGACTATATCAAACCTTGCAAGATCTACTACCGCCGGGGTTGCTAAAAGTTAATAAAAGTTACTAAAAATTCTTAGACTTGCCGAGCATATGCTTAAGGAGCTGTTTAAATGCAAGATCTACTACCGCCGGGGTTGCTAAAAGTTAATAAAAGTTTCTAAATGTTCTTACCCTTGCCGAGCATATACTCGAGGAGCTATTCGAATACAAGATCTACTGCCGCCGGGGTTGCTAAAAGTTAATAAAAGTTTCTAAATGTTCTTACCCTTACCGAGTATATGCTCGAGGAGCTGTTCGAATACAAGATCTACTATCGCCGAGTTACTAAAGATTACTAAATGTTCTCGAGATTGCCGAGTATACACTCGAATGCTAGATCTACTGCGATTACGGGTAGGAATGTTACGGCTAATGCTAATAACCTCTATAGCCTTATACGTATACGCTAACGGAAGTTTATATCCGATTAGAACTTTTAGCAACTTTTAGCAACTTTTAGCCAATTGTTAGAACATCCGAGGTCGACTATCTTCCGGCCTGCCGACGTTATACGCTAAACGCGAGGAGACGCGACATTGCAATACTACTACGATATTTAAGACGAACAACGAGGTACTATAGGTCACTTTTATACGAACGCGCGAATCGAGCTCGATACGGAAGCATTAAAAAGCCGCGAATAGATAGCACTACTCGGACTAAGGGACGCCGAGAGATGCTAAGTAGAAGATGCTAAAAGATACTAAAAGATGCTAGAAATTAGTATAGGGCGAGATCGTATATCTAGACGCCGTAGTCGCAAAGTGTCCTTATATAGACACTATATAGCAATACCGCTAAAAGACAGGCTGCATCTTAATAACTTACCAACTTCGTCGATTCTAAGCCTATTAAGCGCTTTATAGCATATATCTTTACTAGAAGACGACGAAGAATACAACATCGTTAAGCGCTTTGTAGCGTATATCTTCGAGCATAAGGACTACGAGAAGGACTACGAGAAGGGCTACGAAGAAGCGGATATACTCGAGATAGGAAAGTATACTAGCTACGGCGACTAGGCTATACCTAGCTAATAATTCCGAGATTAACGATTTATCGACATTAGGTAGTCCGGTTTGATCTTTAGTATAGCAAATCGTTATTATAGGTCGCGGCGATGCCTCCGCCGATAGTACGACTAATAGCTAACTACATTTCTAGAAATTGTCGGTACGATAGAAGAAAAGTAGTAGCACGGAATGCGGTCGTTATAGTATATTTATGTCAAAACAGCTATCGAGAATGCAGATATTGTTTATTTAAACTACCGGTCGTTATACAACATCTCGCTATAGTAAGTAGCAGCGTATTGTTCCTTCGGTTGTCGGCGGAAGTAGGTATACTCGATATAGTTAGTATCGGCCGAACGAGATATATCGAAGAGCCTAATTCTATAGACACTAAATTCGAGAGATACTAGCTATACTAGTTGCCGAGAAGGAAGAATTTAGCGAGGTTACTGTACCTACCTTTAGCGCTATTTAAGGCGATCCTTACCTCCGCGAGAACATTAACGAGGATACGAGGGGCGTATATGTCTCTTAAGAAGACTATATCTAGCGATTGTTCTAATGTCAATATTTGCAACTTTTTAGTAGAGACGAAAGCTAAACTGCAGCAGAATACTAGCAATACCGCTAGCCTAGAAGCAGAATCTCAGACATTGCCGCTAGTCCGGAGTTAGAACATTAGGATTACGGCTAGGTCTAATGCCGAATCTTAGATATTACCGCTAGCCTAGAAGCAGAATCTTACATATACCGCTAGCCTAGAAGCAGAATCTTATATATACCGCTAGCCTAGAAGCAGAATCTTACATATACCGCTAGCCTAGAAGCAGAATCTTATATATACCGCTAGCCTAGAAGCAGAATCTTATATATACCGCTAGCTCGGATGCCGAATCGCATTATTACAGCTATTTCGAAAGCAGAATCGCAGACATTACCGACAGTTTATAGTCGAAACTTGATACTGCCGCTAGATTAGAAACTGAAATTTAACTATTACCGCCTGTCTGTAGCGGAAATCTAGTGCTCGCTATCGGGTTTCAATCGAATCTAAATACTATTACTACCTTCTACTAGAAATCTCGTATATACCATCGCTTTCTAGTTAAAATCTAATAGTGCTTTTGCCTAATAGCTCGTTAAAGCTTTAGTAGATTGACCGATTAATTAACGTAGCAACCGTCTAGTATCGCCTATTAATAAGCTAGTCTGTCCTATAGCAGTATCGACGGCGATAGGAAGAGCTATACTCAGCCTGGCGCACTCTTAAATATAACAGAGGTCGCTAAGTCAAACGTCGATAATAACGCCGAGCTAGGCTACATTATTAGTACTAACCCTTAAGAACAGTTATAACGAAGCCGTTAAGATCCCCCCCTCTATTACTAGGAGCCGTCGCTATCGTGTTAAGCACTTTTACTAGCTTGTATTAGCGGAAAGTAGCTTAATCGACTCTATTTAATAGTGCCTCTATTATTCGTTTCCCTCTATTAATCTATAAATAAAGACGCTACCGGTATACTATAGCAATCCGAGAAGGACTTCTACTATAGACCTATAGAGTGCCTGTTAGTACGCTAGCAAGTTGAGGAACAAGGATACTAGAATATTAATACAGTAGCAGGATTAGTAGAGCGAGAAGAGACTTTATTTGTAATAGCAGAACTGCTATACCTAAACGCTAAATAGAAGACCCGCTAAGAGTATAAAAACAAAGCAAAGAATATAGCCTATTATGCCCGAAGGCTAGCAAATAGCAACAGTAAAGCAAAGAAACAAACAAAGAAGCAGACTAGCTGCTATACCTAAACGCTAAACACCGAACACCTTTAGTAAGCATCGTGCGACTTACTGCTATATTTTAGGTCTTACTACGCGAACAAGCAAAAGAATCAGCAGGCGGCGAGGCTACCGCAAGCACTACTACCTATCCTACTATCCTTGCTACTACTATAGCCGCTACCGAAGCTATCGCCGAAACTATCTAGCTTTAGAGCTAGGCTCTTAAGCTCGAGCCTAGGCTCCTCGTCGCGGTAAGAGTAAGGGATCTAAAACAATGTTAGCTTTATGTCTTAATATTAGTACAAGAAGACAAGACTAGAATGCTATACCTTACGGAGACGATAGCGAGCACAACTACGGCTAGGCTTCTTAATAAAGGCCTTAATGCCCTCTAAATAACCCTAGTATTCGAAGCCGTCGCGACGGTAGGCATCGTACGGGCGAGCAAAGCGACGGCCTAACGTCGTCTCTATAATGCGGACAACGTAGTATAGCTACGGGAAGCGATTAGCATAGGCGGCTACAAATATGTTAACTCTTAGTTCTATCGCTTACTCGATTAATACAACTTACGGTCGATAGTGCCCGGAGACTACTAATGTCCTATTGCCTAAGTAGGCTTAGGCGTCGTGCCTAGAATCGGCGGTCTAGCAGGCTAAGGGCGAGGCACGATAGTACCTCCGGCCGGGATAGGCGGCATATTGCTAACCTGCCCGCCTATTATCGGTACGGCGGCCGGCGGAGCGAAGAAAGGAACGGCGGTAGTAGGAGGCGGCGCAAACGCGGCGGCAGTAGGGCTAGTAAAGGGTTTATTCTCGCTATAGCATAGTTAGCAATTGCACTTCTACGACAGCATAATAGGAATTAGTTACTTACTCTTCGTTATCGTCGCTACTAGCGGTAGCAGGATTGTAGTCGTTACTATAGCATAGTTAGCATCTACTATAACAGTAAGCGGTGCGAAGCAATAACTTACTCGTCGCTAATAGGGCTAAAGTTAATGTCGTCGTCGCTATAATATAGTTAGTATGCTAACACTACCGACGACTAGAGCTTTAAGACACTTACTTACTGTCTTGCGGCGTAACTAGTAGAGTAGGAGTAGGAGCGGGTGCTAGAGCTAGAGCTAGAGCTAGAACTAGAACTAGAGCTAGAGCTAGAGCAGGAGCAGGAGCAGGTGCTAGAGCAGGAGCAGGTGCTAGAGCTAGTACTAGCGCTAGCGGAGGCTAATAGCTATTATATATATTAGTATTATTCTCGGAGATCGATAGACAAAGATACGTACGTTGCTATACCCTAAAGGGTCGCAAAGAAAGGGCCGCTTAGACATGTTAGTATACGCTCTTACTAATACGCTAAAGACTAAGATTAGCATACTTCTATTAATGCTACTACTGCTATATACGCAGACGAGCAGCGACGAGGCGGCGGCGGCGGATAGCGCGACGAACGCGCCGAGCAGCGTATACTATAGCTCGATCCTCCTATATACCTATTAGCACTGTCTCGGCCTCTTAACACCTTCGAAGCTAGTAAGCAATATATATATCTACGCCGAAGAGAGGGTAGCCGCGAGCGGCCGGAGCAAAGAAAGGACCCGGCATTTTGTTACTTTCTATGCTATTAACGTAGTTCTTGTGTTTAAGGTAACGTTATAGGCGATAGTAAGAGGGTGTATACGATATCTAGTAGAAGAAGAAGAAAGGAAGGAAACGAGAGAGAGACATCTAAGATATACACCTATAAGACTAAGAGCGGAGTAAGTTCTATTGTCCTACTAAAGAGCAACGTGAAACTAACTAACAATAGTATCTAAAGCTTACTACTAGGGAAATGTAGGGTAAGTGAAGTAACAGCTCGTTCGCTCGCCCTATTATTATAGGAGCGGACTAAGAGGGTTGATGCTTAGTCTGCTCCGGCTGCTTTAATCCGCGCGTTCTTATTAGCCGAAAGTTGGTAAAAGTTCCTAAGAGATGCAGAAACTTTATATAGACAGCTAATTAATAATAGTAAGGCCCTACTTTTCCTAGCATTTACTATGCGAAGTGCCTAGCAGTTGCCTAAAATACCCGGAATAGCATTATAGAAGCCCGGAACGTACTTTAATCTTCCGCCGCTCGAAATAAAGTATACGCTAATCCTTTGTAGGCAGGATACGGCAATATACGAAAGTACTCTACGCTAAGCTATTCTCCGGCCGTACCCGCTAGTTACTATACCTCCCTAGGCCCCTATATATATGCTCCTAAAGCTGCTAAGAGACAAAAGGCTATAAGAATGTAGTGTATGCTACATCGCCGCGAAGCCGGGCTTACCCTCTTACCTACTTAGTATATACGCCGCTCGATATACGCGCGCTAAACAGAACGACTCTACTAAGTGCCTAGAGTATATAAAAGTTGCTAAAAGTTGCCGAAAGTTGCTAAGGGCTAGCGGAAAGATTACGTCTAGTATAGATAAGCTATTGCAATAGGATTAGTATAATACGCCTAAGCGGATACATATATATACACTAAGACCGAGCGCGCGAGCTACGTCTTACCGTTAGCCTTAATAAAGAGAAGGGCCGCAAGCTAGGCGAGAAGGGTCTTAATAAGCACCGCATTATAATTAGACAGACTACATTTCAATCTACCGACTGCAAAGGTCGCCTCCTAGCAACCTACACCGTACTATAATCCGGTAGACTAATATAGTAAGCTTCTAGCAACTAGATGAATATCGAATTATAATCCGCTAGGCCCCTAGGCTTCTAGCAATTAATGGCCTACCTTTACGGTAAGGCCTCGTTCGATAACAACTGTCTTCGTAGACTATCTTCCCTACCCGGCAATATACTAGAGCTTTAAACTTGTTAGTTCTAAACAGCGACTCGAGAACATTTAGCAACTTTTATTAATACTTAGCAACTTTTAGCAAGCCCGGCGGCAGTGTATTATAGAGTTTACTCGACGATATCGAGAACTTTTAGCAACTTTTATTAACTCCGGAAGCAGTAATGCTCGACTTCTACGTTTGATGCCTAACTTCTACTCTGCTCGATAGCTAGACTTCTACGGTGCTTAATAGCTGAACTCCTACTTTGCTCGGTAGCTAGACTTCTATATTGCTCGGTAGTTGACCGTATTCAATCGTAGACCTCTTAGCAGAGATTGGGTAGCGCAATAGCGGCATCCGATAAAGATTAAGCTGCGAGCTTATAGATAATATTAGAAAGCATGTCAGCGGCACATTATTACTACTATAGCAGCTATAGCATTGCGATCTCGTACAGAACGGTAAATACAGAGCAGTAGACTTAGTATTGTATTAGTCTCCTTATACGCTACTGTTCGAAGGAAATCACCTTATAACATTAATAAGGCTATATACTTAATTAACGTCGATCCTCGCTCGCATTCTCCTTCTACTAGCCGAATATTCGCTAGAACTACGGCTACGCTATTATAGGCTCGAATCTACGCTCGCGGACTAACGTCGGCTATAGCTTGCTATCGTAGGCATTGCGGCACTAGCTATATATTGCTAGCTTCGCGCTGCTACTAAAGCCGATAATAGTATAGTCTTCCTCTAATTTGCGGATCCGTTATATAGATATAAGATCGTTATATCTCTTAAACTAGCGAATCCTACAGAATTTAGGATACATTAGCGATCCTATACCCTCCTTGCGCTATATAGCTATTCTAATCTTCTTGCTTTCGATTAGGCTACGAGGTAGGTTTATAATGCCGCTTAGGTCCTTCTATTCGTATACAATAAACACGTTCGAGTCTTAGAGGCCGCGAAGGTCCTACTATAGCTCGCTCTGCTTAATATCGTATCGATCGAATTCGATAACGATAAAGGTCTATAGTTTAGCGGCATGCTACTTATTCGTTTTGTCCGTACGCTATTCCTTGCGACCGATCGCGAGTAGAGCTATCGATCTATCGGTATAAACGACCTTACTAACTTTAATATACGAGACCTAAAGCGTATAGTTAGTATCTATCGATTCTTAGCTTTCTTAGATCTATACCTACTAGTCTTAATATCGTACTATACCTCCGTCGACGTCGAAGTAGGTAGAAGCTATAATAGAGTGTTCGGATCGGCTTAGATATGTGTTTGAGTTGTCGAGAAGATAGCTGTATTCCGGAGGTTGTTATTATTGTCGATAAGTTCAACCGAGGGCTTAGTACTAGCGTTAGATACCTGCTTTTCTATACGGATGGCAGGTAGCAACTAGCGCCTGCTTCTAGAGACAGTACATAATAGCGGAAATGTTACTACTAGTATAACTTAAACCGTTACATACCGCGTAACTTCGTCTATTAACTGCGTACGCTTTTTAGGCGATAAGGCAGGAGCTCCGGTAAGCAGCTAGTTACTGCTTATATTAACTTCAGTTAACGGCAATCCTTCCTTACTCCTTTAACAACTAACCTTAATTAGTCGATAGCAATCCTTCTTCCCTTCTCTAACAACAATTATTAATTACTAAACCGTATACAACACTCGAGCAACGCCGACGAAATATCTAACAATATATAGCAGAACCGGGACCTATAGTCCTAACTTAATCATTTCGAAGCGGATTATAGTCTACTTCGTAGCAGTTCGGGGATAGTAAGTGCCTATAGTCGTCGATGTCTCTATACGGAAACTAACATTCGAAGGGTATTAGTATCGGCCTAGTCCGGAACGGCGTAGGTAGAGCTTCCTTAGGTACGGTCTATTTTGCTACGAGGCAGTACGAACTACCAAACAATGGCGGCCCTACGACTATAGCATAGTTAGTCGTATAGGTACGAATAGGGCCGAATAGAAATAGATACACTACCTATCGCTTCGACCTTAGAGAGGCAGGCATCTAAGGCCTTCCGAATTAGACAACGCGAGTTGCCTTTACGATGTTTAGGCGTTATCGCGGTTTTAGCTTAAATAGCTAGCGGGCATTAATAATGCACGATACGGACACCCTATTTCCGAATAGTCTAACTCGAAACCTAGCGGGGTTCGGATATTAGCACGATAATAATAGTCCAAATAGCGCCAATCGAGTGAGTCCGTAGCCGCAATACGAGCCTGCGTTCCTAACATAGTACGCGCGAGCAAACGGCCCTCTAATATAGCTAGCACTATCGACTGCTCGTTAACTTAAAGCAAGCCGATAGTAAGGAGATCTAGCTAACGACCTACTCGACCTAGATAGATAGTAGGCACGAAACAGACGTAACTAATAGGCAACAGTATTAAGGTAGAGGGTTAGATAAGCTAGCATCTCTAAGCGTTCCGCGTTATAGCCGATAGCTAGGCCTTTATATATCTGCCTTAGAGTAAGAACCTAATACGTTAGAATAGGGGGTTGTAAAGCCGCGAAGGATGATCCCCTGCTTCTAACGACTAGTATAGGACCTAAATTGAGCTATAGGCTCTAGTATTGCGACTCAGATTAGTATTAGCATGTCTCCTACGTTAGAAATTGCCTTGTTCCGAGTAGTAATCTTCCGTACATTAGCTATAGCTGTGCCGTCTATTATGCGGCATATACTGCTTGCTATAGCAGTTATTCAGTTATACTTGTCGGTTATGCTTGCTACTAGATAGCTACGTTCTCGTAGGCAACGGTAGCAAACTTTCAGTCGAAGAGTAGTACTTATTACGGCTCGATCCCCTCTTAAGTAGGACACCCTACGAGACAACGAAAGCACATACTAATAACCTAGGCTCTATACTAAGCACTAAATACCAAGCGTCGAACATTAAGCATTAAGCATCAAGTATTAAGCATCGAGTATCTAGATTAAACGTCTTTCCGAGCTCAATTACGCAGCACTAAACCTAGTCGCTACGATAAGCTCCTAGAACGATAGTAAGAAGGCTTCGAAGAAGCTAGCGCCGCTTAATTTGCAGCAATAGCCTTTATTTACCGAGCGGGTATAGCGTATAGACTAGGAAATGTAGCGTTAAGTCAACTAGCAGTAGGTCTAGCCGACGAGTGCTAGATCTTAAGGGCTAGCTTAGGTAGCGATCGAGCGAGAGGCTACAGGTATAGCGCGAGAGAATTTCAAGGCAGCTTAGGGACATTATCTAGGGCAGACACCTCCTCTAATATCGCCGGGATCTACGGGAGGCAAGAAGGATTGTAAGAAGGGCTAAGTATCGAGTATTAATATAGATTCTGTTGTTTCTAGCATTGGTCCTACTGTTTGATTTGAATAGTTTCTAGCTTTAACATTAGTTGTTTAAATAGCTTAAATAGCTCCTAGTTTAATAAATTCAATAGCTCCTAGTTTAAAGATTTGAATACCTTCTCGATAGACTCGATTCTCTTTATCTCGGTAG